CATAATTTTATCAACTTCAGGCTTAGGGGAGTATTAATTGTAAGAAGAATTTTGTGGAATGTTTTGACTCATGAGCTACTGTCAACCAGATCAAATACAAGAATGAAGAATGGGCTGTATTAATTACCTATGTAATTAATATCAGAAAGAACCACACAAGAAGTATTAGAAAGACTTTTCTTTTGTTAATATTTGGATCAGTAGAAGTTCACGTACCTTTTTTCTATGCTTTTTTTTTAAAAAAAAAAAACCTTTACATATCTCATGCATACAGTACATCTTCTTCAAATTAAATGTTTTGTAAATAACTTTCTTCTGGACTAATTCTTTTTAAAGTACACCCCTGAGGAGCGTGATCCTGTCCCTTTGAGTATCCATCACATGCCTATTTGTGTCAGTTTTGCCTTCTTCCAACAAGGGTAAGCTTTTTTTTAAGCCTTTGACAGAAACAAGCTATTAGCAGTTCTGCAGAAAATGACAATGTAGAAGAATCCTAAAAATATTGGTAACCATAGACTTGTTTCTTAAAATACTTTACCTGGAATGAGAAATGATGGTAATACTTAAGCATACTGCACAAGTTTAAAAGGAAACAGCACCTTTTACAGACAATGAAGAAATGGATTGAGGATGGAAAGGCCTATTCATAATTACTATTTCTATTTAAGCTTTTTTTTCCCCATTCTTATTTTATTAAGGATAGTAACTTCCTTGCAAATTTTTTTTTCTTATTGCATTATATGTGGAAACTTCATTCTAGTACCTACTTACTGGTGGATCCAAGTGAAAGAGAGGAACAGGTAATGGATGGTCTCCTTGTAATTGCCATGAATAAACACCAGGAAATTTGCACCATACAGTCCAGTGGTGGGATTATGCTGTTAAAGGATCAGGTAAATATTTGCCTTGAGCAGTCTTTCAAATCTAAACTACTCCCTGTAGTAGTGTAGATACTGAAAAGTCCTGTTAATGTGAGTTCCTAGTGTATTTTATGTGTTTTTTGTCTGTGGTGTACTATGGTTCTGGTCAAATTCCTGTTTTTTACAATTATAACCTGCTGTTACATATATATTATAAACAGGTTCTGAGATGCAGTAAAATAGCAGCTGTAAAGGTTGCAGAAATAACAGAACTAATTCAGAAGGCTTTGGAGAATGATCAGAAAGTTAGGTGAGTTTGGGGAAAGGGGCAAGAGATCATTTTCAATAAACATGTGGGAGGGAGCGGCCTTTAATATGAATAGCATTTTTTTTCCTTGTAGCTGTTTTAAGCATGAAAAGAAAAAGAATTTGTAAACGTAAAACATCCTGAAATAACATTTGTCATTGACTAGGAAAGAAGGTGGGAAATTTGGCTTTGCAGAATCTATACCAAATCAGAAGATCACTGCCTTCAAAATGGAGGGAGCTGCTGTTGATACTAAGGATGTGGAAGAACAAGCAGAAGAAATCATCACTAAGGCTGATCCTCCTTCTGAAGTGTATCCTTTTTAATGCGACATGTGGGAGGGGTGAGAGGAAAGGCTTCCCCTCAGCTACCACTTCAGCACTTTTAAAGGTAAACATGGCCAAAATTTCTCACAGTCTAGGTACTCTCACAGCCTCCAGATGAAATATCGCCATCATACTGGTGTTGGTGGTAACAGCCTTTAGATAATTTCATTCATATTTAGTTAACGTTAAGAATTAAAACTGTCCATCTCCCTAGAAACAAAGTATTCTCTTCTACCTCCCCCTTAAAGACTTAGGGAGAAAAGACACAGATTAAAATCCACCTAATTTGCATTAAATTACCAACAGATTGCCAACTAACAGGGGCTTTTCTTAACTACTTCAAGTTTTACCCAACCAATACTGCACACTCCTGGGACAGCCCTAATTGGGGAAGGAATAGAAAATGCCTGGGGAGACCTTGAAGAATCTGAGAGAGAAGAAACTGAAGATGAGGAAGGTGAAACTGATGCTACTGCTTTTGAATGGGAGAAAGTTAAAATGGAGGATACCAGTGTTACCAACGAAACTGAGAAAGGTGAATATTCATATTGGTATTAGACACTTATAACAACATCACTTTGTTAGCAGTCAAGAATTAAAAGAGTAAGAACTGCCCATCAAGAAAGGGGAACGAGGATAGCCACTTTTTGAGACACCCCTTTCCTAGTTAGTATACCACCCAAAACAAATTTCTTTTTAAGAAATGTCCAGGTGAAGGTTCAGAGCAGCACTAGCAGTAGTGAGCATCTGTCTTTCTAGTTGGAGTATTTATTTAGGAATAATTACTAGCTATCGAAGTCTGCACAAAACTCATCAGATGTGTGTTTGTTTCTTTGAAGATGAACCTATTGTCTTGTCTGATAGTGAAGAGGAAGAAGTTGTCATTCTGGAACCACAGGCTCCACCACGGAAAACAAGGTAAAGGTACTTCGACAATACAAGGGGGAAGAAGTAGATGAGGAATAGTTTCTGAAAGCACCAGCTGTTTTCAAAGACATCGCTCTCTAGCATGTGTGGAGATGACCAAGGCCAAGCCCAGAACTGCAGTGATCAAAGGGGCTGCAGAGAGAGCAGTGAGGAAGTTTCAATGGATGGTAGTCAGCTCCCTTTGGAGAACACTAGTCCTGTCTGACCTGCAGCTGTGCAAGAGGCTTAAAAATGTTTGACTAGTCTCAATCCTACCACGGGCCTAAGAGCATCAAAGTGTATTTGAAGCAGTTACTGCTTAAGAGATGCTGCAGAGAGTGCCTCTTATAGCTCATCTTGAAATTCAATCCTTCAGAGGTGAGACTTAGTGTCATAGCCCTCCATTAGCCATGGAAACTTAAGTTAAAACATTTTTAAACACATGTAAACATTCAGATTCAAGTTGGAGCTCTGTGCTGAGCAGGGTAGATGTTTGCTGTGTTAGAGAAGATCAACTAACTTTTAAAATAAAAATCCTTAATGTGTTATTTTGTTTAAAATGTCATTTGCTCACAGAACACAGGCCAACTTGAAACAAGAAAATACAAGTAAGAAAACATTTAACAAAAAGAGAAAAAAGAAGAGAGTTGCTCATTAAAGTGATCACCTGTCCTTCAGACATAGTGTACAATACATAATTTGTCTATTGTTACTGACCTTATTTTTGTAGATAACTTTCCTCCCATCTCAACTCAGGTGTGCTTTCGTATATACTTCACATATGTGTACACATTTTGAAATAAAAGAAATCAAGTTTCTGTATAAATTAAATTCTCTGGTAGTAAATTCTCTCAACTGACTCAAGTTGTTTAACTTGAGTTGTACAAACAGGCGAAAGAGCAACCTTAGCAAAACAGTCCCAGCAACAACTCAATTTTTATAGGAGTATAAATCACAGTACTACGTGTTGTAAGATAGGTATAGACAAGAGGTCAGTTGTTAGAAAGAATTAGGGCTCCAGCTTAACAGCAGGAGAAGGGTTCTTTGATTAACATAGCTATTACCATACCTTGAAAGATGCCATGGCAGGATCTGATTAAGACAGTCTTTCTGGATCATTCCATATCTTACCTTCACTAAAATTGCTTTATAGAAAATGAGCAAAAATAAAATTACTTGAAATATCATAAAAGCAAATGGCCAAGGACAAGAGGCTGCAAAATGTGAATGAGAATGACTCACAGTTCCGCTTTTTTTTTTAAAGTTTAATTAAATATTACATGCAACAAACAGGAATGCTTCTTGTCCTAAAGAATTATGTTCTGAATTTAAAATGAGGCACAACAAAGCAAAGGAAAGAAGTTTCCAAGATGGTTTAGCTGCTTTGGTTGAAAACTGAGTCAAATTGTAAACACATGTATATGTACAAGAGCAAAGTAGGATTCTTTTACATGTGACCTCAGTATTTTGTGAAATATGAACAGGAAAGAAGTTGCTATTGCAAATACTATATGTGAGAGTAGGGTTTTAGAACTGGCACAAGGGCAACTTCTTGCTAATTATCAGCTTTAATCAAGGTGTGTCCTTTCCAAAAGGGGCAAACATTGTCTTCCTCCAGGAGCTCAAAGAGTGTATTTTCTTAGTGTCAGTTCTTCTCATTGGAAATGGCCTTTAGGAGTACAGGAATGAGGGAAGATGGAGTTTCACCTTCTTGAGGAAGAAGAGTATTCTTGGCACCTCTTTGTCTCTCTTTTTACTTAGGGATCCTGTTATTTCCCTACCTAATAGGGCATGCCCTACATCCCTAAGTTGTTTCTTTTGAAAGTAATACAGAAGTTACACTGGATAGACAAAATGGTAGTACAGTGCAGCCTGGGCTTTTCTGTTTTGTTCAAAGCTCCAAGAAATTCTAGAAAGGCCTCCTGCTAACTGTAGAAACTGAAGAGGCTGCTGATCCCTGCAGCAGCAAAACTGTGGGCAGAGCCGGAAGAAGAGAGCCAGACGACGGCCAGAATGCCAGCCCAGTGCCAGAGCCTTTCTCAGGCTATAGCAGACCCCATAGGCTGAATGCAAAGCTTAGGGAGCAAGGCAGCATTATCCTCTATGCTATTTTTTTTAACCTATCCTTTATCCAAAGCTGAGCAAGGAGACGTTTCAGTAGCTGTAAAATAAGAGGGCCTAAGCCTTTCACCTGAGTACTGGCATTTTGCTCTTTTCTGGGGAAAGTAATTTGTAAGCTTTAAGTTATTTCTCTTATGTTTGCACTTCTTAGTAATATTTAAAGTTCCCAGTCTATGCCACCAAAAGGAGAAGGCAGGACCCAGCTTCTCAGGAAGAGCTGTGGGCTCTAGGCCTGCAGACAGTGGTCAGGGAGCATTTTCATAAGAGCTGCCAAGGTCACCAGCTGCAGTTCCCAGTAGAGCAAGGGCCCACATGTTAATGGATATTCAGACCCACTCCCCTGTAAGGCTAGAGCATTTCCCAAACTAAGCATCAGACATGATAATGTGTAGTTTCAGTCAAACCAAGTTTAGCTTTTCAGTGTCAAGCTATTACAATTGAGCTAATGAAGCTAATGGAGAACAAGGAAGACTAACAAGATACAGTTCATCATTACTCATTAGAAGACACACAACATTTCTGCCAAAGTGCATCCCAAAAGCTCATATCTGCCAAAAGAGAGGGCCTCTGCTGCATACTCTTGTCTTTGCTTCACAAACCAACACCACTAAACTAGAGTTCTGTAAACTGTGTTGTTTTGTGGAG